TCAAAATTTTTGTTTGCAAAAATCAAATGAATCAAAGCGTAAAGGAAAAATATTTCTCTTACTTTGAATTCACTCACTTTCTTCTCAAAGCACATTATAAATTCACACACTATAAGGCAGAATAGCCACGAAATTCAACAAAAAATTAAAATATTAATTGCCGAAACAAAGTATATACGACTATACCGCGCGACAGAGTTGCCAGACTTGTGTCTGTCTGACAGTTAAATCATATGTCGAGGCGACATTGCAATGCCGCAAGGGCGTTTCGGACACACTGATAAGGTGCGCTCACGTCAAAAGCCACTCTGTCCTTTCTGTGGGATAAGCCATGATTGCTCTACAAAATGCTAAAAATTGCATAATTGGCTGAACACTTTTCTAATTCCAAAACTTCTGCAACATACAATAAAATTGTCAAATCGAAAAAAGACGTAACGGAAAGTCTCAAACTAAAAATCTTTTCTCTTTTTCAGAGTACTTACGCACACCCAAATAGTCCAAATTTTTTAACTCCTCTGGAGAGCTTCACTAAGTGCCCCGGCTGGCTTCTCAACCAACAATCAAATAACCAAACATTGACTCTACTGTCTCAGCTTCAACCAAAAAGATGATAACTCCTGAAGTCATCATCCCCCCTTGCAATATAAAATCTGCAAATCCCGATATTGGGACTCCTATCACAGACAGTATTCCTTCCGATCACGAAATGATCACTGATCCTAACACTTCCTCTCACTTATCTGATCCTAACACTTCCTCTCACTTATCTGATATCTTTGACCGTATTCAAAAAGTACGTAATGTCAAGGCGTCCTCTAAACCAAATCCTACTATTAACTCCGCCACACGCTTATCTCGCGACCTTCACCTGAGTATTCTTAACCAACGATCCCCTTCGCTTTCGTACTTCTATTCTCTCTCAATCAATAATGGCAATAGCTCAACTTAGTTGCACTATCATCCGTAACACATTAAAACAGCTTGAAAAATACCTTCATTCTAAGGTCATCTCCGTGGCCTGTCTGTCTGAAACTTTTCTTAAATCTTTCTTCTTTTTATACTAAGAATAATAACATAGTTAGATTTGTTGTATCTCCAACTCCTCTCATGGGTGGCGATCTTTATGTCTAATCAGCTTTCATTCTCTTACACTTCTCATATTGCAAATTGTGTATCTAACGAAACTTGCAGCTGCGTCATTCAGACTTCGAGGATGGGTGAGAATAAAATTCTTTAATCTCCCAATGGACAGGTAGTCGACAAACCCTCTTACTAAAAAGAACTTAAAGGCATATATAGCGAGGTCGTGATCCGATCCAAATCATATTCAATAGCGTTCGTCCATCTGAATAGTGAATCATTTTCAGTACCGCTTATTCTTGCACCAAAAAACACGCCCAAATACTGCTTTTCTTGACGAAAAGTCAATTTTCAGATATCATAAAGTAATAATTTTATTGTTGCAATATAAAGTTTGCCGTTATACGACAAGTGGTCAAAGTTGAAATTACTTTGTAAGCAGAACCCAAGGCTTGGGGAGAACAGAGAGGTAGTTAGCAAGCTACCAATAGTGCAATACCTTGACCAATGCAAACAGAGCCGATTGAATATTTCATTTGTTTACGTCTAAAAATAGAAACGCAAAAAAAAAGGAAAATGAATATGAATATGAAAGGAAATGTTCCGGCAGGCGAATCAAATTGATCATCCTAAATGAAATCAAGTCTTCAGCTTGTTTAAATTATAACATTAACGAAATATTCTATCTGTTCTCATCTTTGTTGTTTAAAGATTTTATGGGAAATTTACTGCATTTCATGTACCAAGTGGCCAATTATACGGTCTCCGCTAGCTCCTAAAGGATGACCTTCACGTTGAATTTGTTCATATCCAAACCGAGAGCAGCTAATTTTTTGCTATTTAAGGGTGAAGAACAACCTTTAGGCTTGCTGAAAGCATTACAATCTTTTAACATAAATTTGGATATTCTAACTAAAACAACGGACGTATAAAAGTTTTAAATATGTTGCTGGGGAACTAAATACTTAGACAAAGAAGTTTCTCAAACGATATTAAAACCACCAGACGCTGTTTATGTACTAACAATTTTAGGCGAGGTACTTGATAGCCAGCGAGATGTCAAGGTGCTATCCGGGCTGAATTACAGCGAATATACGAATATAATCAGCGATATCTATGAGAACAAACTGGTATAGGTTTTATTCATACCACAGAAATTTTAAATTTGAGAAATTAACTAAAATTGAAATTTAATGTAAAACATGATGAGTGGCGACCAATCTTATTAATACCTGAACGTATTAGGAGGACTTCAGGTGCGGTCCTACATACTGCTATGGGCGATACTGCAGTACCTTTAAATAAATGGAAAAAATCGGCCACACCCACCCTTTTTTGAAATGTAACGAAATTTTTTGTTTTGAATACCTTTATAACGGACCGAAACAAGCTTCAAGAACCCCATAAAATACATTAATCCTTGGCCAGTTTCAATTCTGGGATGCACCCGTTCGTTGCTCGTCTGCTCGTCTGTCAATCTCTCTGTCTGCGCAACTGTGTAGTATTTGTGTTAAACATTCTCCCGTTAGCGAAAGCGAAGATATTTTCTACAAATTTGCAAAAGAATTTGGAAGTGACCTAAAATTATCGAGGACCCGCTCACAACACCCATGCATGCCTTGGTCAATGGTGAGTTTGGACTGACAAATGAAATAACTTTATAGTCAAATAATACTAAATCCATCTATTCGAGTATGGTGTGTTATTCAACAAAATCAACTTTAACTGAAAATGCT